ACTCCTCTGCCCTGGCTGCTGGTGTTTAGCTGTGAGCAATGCTCAAGGCTTACCTTTCGATGTTTCTGCATGTGTTCTTCATAATTGCGGATCTTGACAGTCAAGGCAACAACTGAAACCACAAACCACAGAGGATGAGAGCCAGGCACAGAGGAAGGAAGGGCCCGGGCCTGGGTTATGTATTAAGACCTCAAGGAATAACAATCACCAAGGCTCTTGTACCGCTCTCTGTAACTCCCGAAGCACTCTACATTTCAAGATCTGAAAAGGCTTTGCATTATCTTTCCTTTAGAAAGCAAAGCCTAAGGAAGGGGAAGCTCCTTAATCTTATACAGATATTATCCCCAAACCATAGCAAACAGCGTCCTGAATCGTAAAACTTTAGAGCATTGCTGTGAAATTCAGGAATTAGTCTAAGATGCCTGCCACTATGGTTAAGGTCCTAGCCAATAGACGGTCCACTGGCCTGGAGGTCCTAGCCAATGTAATAAGATTCCCCAATTGTCAAGGGCCTGCTCCTTGCCTCTCCCTTTCCAGCTGCCACTCTCATTAGTTTTCACTAATGAGTTTTCAGAATTCTCAACTCCCACTCATCTCCTAAAGCTCCAGAATAGCGTTCCTTCAGGTATCCTCTTGTTTGATTCCTGCCTATATTGCAAAGATGGGGGCAAAGGCAAAAGCAGAAGGTGGCCCCAAGGAGAGGCTGTAACTATGGCAGGCCCTTCCCTTACACACATTGGGTTCTGGGAGCACTGCAGACAGTGCAGTGGGATCTCTGGCTCTGACCACATGGTCCCTTCACAACACCTTAACTGCAGAGTGGAGAGAGACATAGAGCTTTGGTTCCAGAGGAACCTTGCCTGAGCTCACAGAGATATGAGGCAGGACCTAGGCACCGACTCCAGCATCACACAGCTCAGGATACAAAGGCCAGCAGCTTTCATTGCCCTTGGTCTTTCCTGTTCCTCCCTTTAACAAGTCACATGTAATCCCTAGTGTACTTGCAGATGAGGGCCCTGGATCAAGTACCAGCTAGCAGACTTCCCTGCACTCCCACTCCCCGAGGGCCCCCTGACTAACTTCGAGCCTCCAGGGAGCTGGTGTCCTCAGGGTTTGCCACGACCTTCTTCATCAACTGCTCTTGCTTGACTTTTAGCTTCTCCTTCTGTTGAAGATAGAGAGAGAATCTGTGAAGTCTGCCACCCCTTAAGAACTAGCCCTCATACCTCCAAGGCCATCGCTGCAGTCATAGGCCATAAGGCTCAGGGCCTGACTTCACTCTGCTACCAGGACATGGCCTCTGGCCAATCACATGGCTATTCACATCTAGGTGAGCCGAAGGCCAATGCTACTGGCTTGTTGGATGAATGTCCCCAAAACTTGCTCATTCATTTAGGCATCAGATCCTTATTCATCAGGTGCTAGTGGTACAATGGGGAAACAAGACTGTTCCTGCCCTTGAGATGTTCAGTCTGGGGGTACTGTCAAGTGGACACAGAATGACATTGGTATAAGTGCTGTGACACAGCATGGGATGGGAGCTGTTACCAGGGTAGGAGGGAGTCCCAGAGGAGAGGCCTGAGGGAGGCCAAGGTTTGGCACAGGCCACTCACCCGGTTGGCCATTTCCAAAGACAAGAGCTTTTTCACAACATCGTCAACCCTGTAGAAAAACCATAGCAATGAGAGACAGATGTGGGGATAGAAG